AAAAAAATACAAGGACATAATAACATCAACATCAAACTACCATTAAATATCAACCTACTTAATACTTCAAATAGTTGATCGTCAACCTAATGATCTTGTGATTAATTAAACATGGAATAATTAAATACTCAAAGGATCGATCGTCGGTCTATTGATCTTGTGGATAATTATATGTCAACCTATTGAATACTTCAAATAATTTATCATCAACCTATTGACTTTATGAATAATTAAACATAGAATAATTGAATACTTCAAATAATTGACCGTGAACCTATTGACCTTGCGAACATCAACCTATTTAATACTTCGAATAACTGATCGTCCACTTATTGATATTGTGGATAATTAAACATAGAATAATTGAATACATCAAATAGTTGACCGTGAACCTATTGACCTTGCGAACATCAACCTATTTAATACTTCGAATAATTGATCATCCACTTATTGATCTTTTGGATAATTATACATCGACCTATTAAATTGATTAGTAAATAGGTTTGATAATTGATAATCAACCTATTGACATTATGAAAAAGTAAATATCAACCTATTGAATACTTCAAATGATTGATATTCAACCTATTGGTCTTATAGATTTAACGACAATCGATATCAAACATCTATCAGGATGTTTGAAGAAATTAGACGATAGTTGAAGGTGAAAAAAAAATACAAGGACATAATAACATCAACATCAAACTACCATTAAATATCAACCTACTTAATACTTCAAATAGTTTATCGTCAACCTAATGATCTTGTGATTAATTAAATATGGAATAATTAAATACTCAAAGGATCGATCGTTGGTCTATTGATCTTGTGGATAATTATATGTCAACCTATTGAATACTTCAAATAATTTATCATCAACCTATTGACTTTATGAATAATTAAACATAGAATAATTGAATACTTCAAATAATTGACCGTGAACCTATTAACCTTGTGAACATCAACCTATTTAATACTTTGAATAACTGATCGTCCACTTATTGATATTATGGATAATTAAATATAGAATAATTGAATACATCAAATAGTTGATTGTGAACCTATTGACCTTGCGAATATCAACCTATTTAATACTTCGAATAATTGATCATCCACTTATTGATCTTTTGGATAATTATACATCGACCTATTAAATTGATTAGTAAATAGGTTTGATAATTGATAATCAACCTATTGATATTATGAAAAAGTAAATATCAACCTATTGAATACTTCAAATGATTGATCGTCAACCTATTGATCTCGTAGATTTAACGACAATCAATATCAAACATCCTAATAGATGTTTGAAACATCTGCGTTAGATGTTTGAAACATCCTTAGGATGTTTGAAACATCTAATGCAGATGTTTCAAACATCTCTCAGGATATTTGAAGAAATTAGACGGTAGTAACATCAACATCAAACTACCATTAAATATCAACCTACTTAATACTTCAAATAGTTGATCGTCAACCTAATGATCTTGTGATTAATTAAACGTTAATTATACAGATCTAGATATCATTTAGTTCTCCAATAAAATCAACATCAAATTATCAAAACAAGTACAACAACAATGTCATTAAGCCACAACGGAGTTGCTTATTCCTTCAGTTCTCTTCTTGCAAGTAGTTCTTTTGTGGCCAGTCCTTTTGCATATGGAGCATCTGTTTTGCTTCTTTTTTACTTCCCCGCTTGCTGGAATATGATTTGTCTTCCTTCTTCCCAGTTGAATTTCACATGAAGGTGGAGGTATTTTTCTCTCAACAAGCTCCGGAGGAACATCCCAACATTCTTCAGAAGGCATTGGATTAATTTCTATGACATATGCATTCACGTATGTGTCTATATAATAAAAGTCAGAAGCATAATCATAAATGCTTGTTACGTATTGATCACCAAACTCAACTCTAAAGGCTGCCATAGCATGTGGGCAAGGTATTTTGTCTAGGTCGAACTCTCTGCAAGAACATGTTCTGTTGTGTAGATCAACCTTTGCAACCGCATCATGACCGGTGATGCTGAACACTTGTTGCCTTATTGGATGGACCAATAGCTTGTTGCCAAATGTTGCATTTTTATTAATCTTCTTTTCAACTGAAGGGACACAAATGGTTGGAGTGTCGAGGAACTGCATACGCCTCTCATGGAATTTTTGAGCAAACCTCCTATTAATAGCATCGAATAGGGCAGTGATGGGGAATTCTCTTTCGAGTAGAAACATTGAGTTAACAGACTCAACAATATTTGTGGTCAATACATCATACCTGAAATAAGGACATATAAGACTTTTTGAGAATTTGGAATATAAGCAATAAGGGTCAAACATCTTGCAGAAATGGGAATGCAGTAACATGTTTCATGTCAAGTATGAAACATCTTAAGAGATGTTTGAAACATCTTAACAGATGTGTGAAACACCTTCTTAGATGTTTGAACTGGAAAGTCCAGTAACCTGTTTCATAAGAGATATGTCAAACATCTTAAGAGATGTTTCAAAGATGTTTTACCAGGGGAGTTCACATTAACGTACTTGTTACCAGGGAAGTGCGCTCTGCTCCATTTGTGAAACCCAACATCCTCCTCAAGATATTTGGCAACTCTTACATCGTTATCTTTGATTTGTTGAAAATGATCGTTGAACTCATCAATCCTATATGCTTTAGATGCAGAATAATAATGGTGAAGCAAATATCCGCAATGAAAATTTTTGCGAAGATTTTCAGCAAGGTGCCTCATGCAAAATCCGTGATGAGCCTGAGGGTAAAATTTTGAGATCCCATTTTCGATGCTTATGTGCCTATCAGAAATTATACACAACTCAACACTGTCGGGGTGTATGCTAGACAATTGTTCAAAAAAATATTCATATGCGGCATTACACTCCTTGTCTACTACACAAAATGCCACAGGAAAAATATGGTTCTCTGAATCTTGTGCCACGGAAGACAACAACACTCCACGATACTTTCCCGTTAAAAATGTCCCATCAACAGCTATGACTTTCCTCATAAACAAAATCCCTGAATCTAAGTTTCATAAGCTATAAAAAAATACTGAAACTTCCATTTGTTATCAAGCTTCAGTGACATCTTGCTTCCTTCATTTGCCTTCTTAAGCACGTAGCGGTACGCATCTAAAATTTCATACTCGTGCTCTGGAGTCCCCCTTACCATAGCCTTTGCAATATGACCTCCCTTCATACACTTCCAATAACTAACATTACAATCCAAATCCAAACGAACTGTTTCCATAATTTCTTTGTTAGATGGACCCTTGCCCTCTTCAAACTTAGAATAGATATATTCACCAATGACATCCGCTGAGGCGTGTGGATGCTTTTCTGTAAGATGTTGTGACCCGCATGTGTGCTCATTCTTGTACCTCGTAATATAAAACCTGTCAGTACTTATATATTTGACGGCTCGCAACCACCACTTGCAATTATTGTCTACACATTTGACGCAGTACACAAATTTAGTACTCTTCACTGATTTGAAACTGAAAGGAGCCTTTAAGGAAGCAAGCTTCAATGACACAACTAGCTCGCGCTTGTTTTAGAAACTTAAACCCTTATAAAACTTCGTGCCATCTTCATAATTGTGGCTGCTTTGTGTTGTCGG